CACCCAGGAAGGTTTGCATCTTTGGAAATGGGCGGCAGTGACTGGATGGAAAGGCACGTGCTTCAGGAAACAGATCCAGTGTCCCCCAGCCCTCACTTATCCAAGCTCTGCAAGGCCTCTGAGCAAGTCCTGCTTCTGTCACCCCCAAGCATGAGCTGGTGCACAAACAGGATTTAATGAGAGCCATGCATTGCAAAACAATGTTTTGGCAACAAGGGATGGTGTATACCATGGTGGTCCCATGGAGTTATAATGGAGCCGGAAAATCCATATCACCTGTGACACCATAGGCATCATAGGACAGGCATTGCTCACATGTTTGTTGACACTGGTGTACCCAAATCTCCTGTGCTGCCAGACATACAAAAGTGTAGTACCCACAAGCATGTACAGTAAGCAAGACTAGGTAATGATAATAAATGACCATGTCACTGGTTTGTGTATTTACTATACTGTTCATCATTATTTTAGAGTGTACTTCTTCTACTTATGAAAATCAAGTACTGTAAACCAGTGGCCATGGTACTCCAGCAGCAGCCTCTGTTGCATCAAGAGGCCATGTCGAGCGACTGACCCAGACCACCCAATGATGAGGTCACCTGGCCATACTTTTCTCCAAACATCCTCATCATTAAGAGATGCGAAACAGTAATCCTAACAGAAATCTGTTGATTTCTGGAACACAGACTGTGTTCCAGGAACTTTTTCTTCCATGATCTCTTTTAATATTCTTGGCTGTCCTCTATGGTGAGTCCTTTAACAGGTAAAGGGGTGGCAGAGCTGGGAGCATAGACTCCAGAATCAGACTGGGATCCACCTCCCACCTCTGCCATTTGGTCTCGGTGTGACCCTTCAGAGCTATTTATTCCCTCTGAGCCTTGGTACCCTCACAAGTGAAATGAAAGCATAACAATTTCTCCTTCTGACAATAATTCATATGCATCTGGCAGGGGAATGAATGAGCTGCCAACAGAAAGTGCTTAGACAGTGTGAGAAGGATTTCTGGCATATAGAAAGTGCTCAACAATGTCCAGCTTGTATGAATCCTGTTGTACAAGAGAAAGATCTCACACTGGGCCACAACTGGCAAGGAGAAGAGCTAGAACTTGGAGCCAGGTGTATGACTCTTCAGCCAGAATGTCAGACCCAGGGGGGGACCATTTGTCTGACTGTCCTGGCTTTGGCTAACCCCATTTAGCATCTGTCTAGGACAAAAGACCCTCAATTTGGGCAATAAATTCTATAAACGCACAAATGCGCATAAAACACTGATTTATTAACATATGTTTCATCACTTGTATGTTGGAGTCATGAAGGTGCGTGTGTGTGTGTGTGTGTGTTGAGCTTTCTTCTCTGTGGCAAATGTATGCTGGCTGCCAACTGTGAGCCATACTTGAGGATCCTGGAACCAGAGGACAGGACGGGGTAGAGTGAGGGCATGGGTGTGCGAACAGCTGCTATGACATCAGGTAGGTAAAGAAACCAACTACAACATGAGCTAGAGAATGGTGCTGCAAGTGTGAGGCCCCAGTGCAGTCCCCGCTGCTCCTCAGTGCTGTGAACAGATTGTTCAGCTCTCAGGGCCTCACCTTGCTCACCTATAGAGTAGGGGAGGGAAGGAATTGTTGGATCCGCAGCTAGGATGTTTCTCCTCCATTCACACTAGATGGCTGGATGGATTCCGCCTGGAGGGACCACGTGCCACATGAGCATGGTAGGGGGAGCATGTTAGCCTGGCCAAAAAGTCTTCTAATAAATGGGGAATGGAAGCCCTTGCTTGAGGAAATCATATCTTCAAAGTTTTGTGGATGAGAAAACGCTGGCTTGCTTAGGGAAAGTCTGGAGTGTAAAGACTGAGAAAGATGGTCAAGGAAAAGGGAAAATGAGCACTTTTATATAAGGCTTGCACTTGAAAAATAGAAGGATTTTGCTCAAATGAACTGTGCTATGTGACAGAGATACAGACATTCCTGCATTAAAAACAGATGGCTAAAAAGAACACTTTTGGGTCAACACTCAAAAATCAATATCCTTCCTATACACGAATAACAGATTCATTGAGAGAGAAATTGGAGAAACAATTCCTTTCACAATAGCATCCGAAAAAATGAAATATCTAGAAATCAATCTAATGAAGAAAGTAAAAGACCTCTGCTTTGAAAACTACAGCATTCTGAAAGAAGAGATGGAAGAGGATATAAGAAAATGGAAAGACATCCCTTGTTCTTGGGTAGGAAGAACTGGTATAGTGAAAATGGCCATACTTCCAAAACTGCTATATAGATCATTGGATCCCGATTAAAATTTCAACAGCATATTTCACAAACCTAGAGAAAACAATCCAAAAATTCATTTTGAACCACAAGAGACCTAGAACAGCAAAAGCAATTCTAGGCCCCAAAGATAAGGCAGGGGGAGTCACAATCCCCAACTTGAAACTCTACTACAAAGCCACTGTGATAAAAACAGCATGGTACTGGCAAAGAAACAGACCTGAGGACCAGTGGAACAAATTAGGAGATGCAGAAACAAGGCCAGACACACTCAGCCACTTCATCTTTGTCAAAGGAGCCAAACACCCTCACTGGAGGAAAGATAGCCTCTTGAATACATGGTGCTGGAAAAACTGGGTTTTAACTTGCCAAAGATTAAAACTAGACCTATATCTCTCACTATGCATGAAACTAAAATTGAAATGGATTAAATTCTAAATATTAAAGCAAAAACACTAAACCTGATGGAAGATAGATTAAGAAGACATTGGGATAGGCAAAGACTTTATGAACTAAACCTCAGTCCCCCACAGGCAGGAACTAACACAATCAACAACTGGGATCTCATCTTATTAAAAAGCTTTTGCACAGCAAGAGAAACCACCAACAGACTGAAGAGACAAGCCACAGTGTGGGAAAAAATTTTTATCAACTGTTCCTCAAAGATCTACTATCTAGAATATATAAAAAACTTAAAAAATCAGACCCCCCCAAATATAAAGACCTAATTCAAAAATGGGCATCTGAAATGAACAAACATTTCTCAGGTGAAGAAGTAAAAGCGGTAAATAAACATATGAAAAAATGCTCAACATCACTGGTCATTTGTGAGATGCAAATGAAAATAATGCTGAGATTCCACCTCATCCCAGAAAGAATGGCTGCTATCATGAAATCAACTAATAACAAATGTCGGTGGGGCTGTGGGGAAAAAGGAACCCTTCTCCACTGTTGGTGGGAGTGTAGACTGGAGCAACCATTGCGGGGTGTGGAGATTCCTCAAAAGACTAGGATTAGAGGTCCCATTTGACCCAGCTATTCCCCTGCTGGGTATCTTCCCAAAAGAGTTAAAAACATCATACCACACTGATATATGCTCACCCATGTTTATAGCGGCACAGTTTGTAGTAGCTAAATCTTGGTTAACAGCCCAGTTGCCCATCAACTAGTGACTGGATAAAAAAGATGTTGTTTTTTAATAAAATGGAGTACTACTCAGCCATGGAGAATGATAAACCAGAGACATTTTTAGGTAAATGGATGCACATTGATGCCATACTCTTAACTGAAATAAATAGAACCCACATGTGTAAATACTGAATAGTTTTTCTGGTGTGAGAAACTGAAAGTGTAAATAAGGACCAAAATGTATAATAGATAATGTGAAATAGGAAGAAAAAGGTTCAAAGGGGAAGGGGAAGTGGGAGGGGTGGGGGAAAGGAAAGTAGGGAAAGAAAAAAATGAGAAAAGAAGGAAAAAATGGAAACAAAGCTTTTGTAAATAGGGAGGGGTGGGGGGGTGGAGGGAGGGAAGGGGAAGGGGAAAAAACAAGAATCAAAATACATCATATACTTGTACAAATGGCCAATGATGAATGTCATCTTAATGTATACCTAAAATGTACCAATAAACTTATGGAAAATAAAAATAAAAAGAGCACCTTTGGGTCTCTTGGCTCCTTATTCTGCTTAATTTTCTTCATAGCACTTAACACTACTTGACATTGTATTGTATATTGTATATTATTTTCTTGGTTGCTTGTTTTACTCTCTCCACCAGTCTGTGAGCTCTCTGAGGTCTGGGACACTTTTGTTTATTCTGCTGTCCCCAGTACCTAAAATGCACAGACCTCACACTTGAGGGGGGAAAAGAACTTGGCAAAAGAAGAAGAAAGCAGGGCCACTGTGGGGGCATGGGGTGAGGAAGTGGGAGGTAGCAGAGAGGCATGAGGAAAAAGAAGGAATGGCCACTCTGGCAACGCCAGGCAGCGAGTGGAGGAGAACACAGGGTTTTCGAGAACCTGAGCCGTAAGCCGTGTTGAAGCTCCACCTTCTGACAGTCCTGGTTGTAAGACATCTGGAGGGGGCAGCATCATCCTTATCACAGAGCCATGTGACACGAGGAACAGAAGCACTGAACTGGCCCAGAAGCTGCATCAGTAATAAATCCAGCTCTTTACCACATTCAGCTTCCACCCAATGCCCACCTAGAGAGCAAAGGTCTACACAGGGATGGGGACTCAGAGGAAAGCAAGAGTCAGACCAAGAAAAGTTAGGACAATGCAAAGGTCAACATCAGGGCAACAGATTCCACACTGAGGACCAAATGGTGCTGTTTTGGATTGGTTTGTCTGCAAAGACCCTTGCTGAAATTTGATCCCAATGTGGTGGTGGTGGTGGGAAGTGGGATCTTTGGGAAGTGACTGGATTGGTGGATTGATGTTTTACAAGAGACTTCGTTAGCTCTCTCTTGAGAGTTGTTAGAAAGTGAGCCTGGCATCTCCCATCAGTCTCACACACACACTCCTTCCCTATACACCAGCTTCTCCTTTCTGTTTCTCTGCCACCATAAGACACAGTTCAAGGCCCTCACCCAAAGCTAAACAGACACTAGCACTGTGCTCTTGGGTAGAACAGCAAGCCCATATTAACCTATGTTCTTTCTAAATTCCCCAGCCTCAGATATTCTGTCATAGCAACATTAAACAAACTAAGACAAATGGCAGCGATCATTTATTGTAGAGGTAGAGAACTGGACACAATTTCAGTCAGAGGACAAAGAGAACCCTTTGGCAGGGAAGGTCCCAAAAGGCACTGGGCAGAGGGGCTGGCAGCTGGCTGCAGGGAAATACCCAAGGTGTGTGCATTAGCTCTGCATGTGGGGCAGTCACCCAGTGAAAGATGACCAGGAAGGAAGCCAGTGAGAGAGCCCATGACTGGCCCTCCTACATGAAAGGACAACACAGAGAGGGGGTGTGATTGTGATTGTAGTAAGAGACAAAGCACTTCCTGGCCTGGAAAGGGCCCAGGGGGAGGAGAGGGAAGTGGTTGGGCTCTGCAGTCTTCTGCCTGTCATCTGGAGACCTTTTTGGTTACACAGCTGCTGCCTGGGGTCTTGCCAAGAGGATCCTTGAGCTCTCTGACACAGTTGCCTTTGGTCTTGACATCCACAGCAGCAGATTTGTAGCTGCAACTGCTCGAGGCGCCAAAGCCCACATTAAAACCAGCCCCTCCTGTGCCTGCATTAATGCTGCTGATCACCGCTGGAAAGGGTGAGAGAAGACCCCAGTCAGCCTGCCCCATGGCAGAGGCTTTCCTGGGGCATCCCAGACCACTGCCTTAGCTCTGCCCTGTGGTGGTTCCATGTTGAGATATTCTCTTTCTTGCATATCTTGCACTTTCTGAGAGGTTCTTATGAGCACTGATCACATGGCTTCATTTTTCATGTACTCAGCCAGCCCCATGTATTTGACCTTTTCCTAACAGTCTGTGTCAATCTGTTGATATCAGACTTTAAGATCCTAGCAGACAAAGCTCTATCAGTGAGTTTCCCTGTGGATAGGACAAAATGAAGACAGGTACTTCATGAAGAGAGGACTTCTATGCTGCTGCTGCTTAAGGGGTCACAGGGAGCATCCCTGCCTCTCAGTATGCAGCCTCTCTCCAGGACTTAAGCCTGAAAATGGCTGTTTCAGGAGCCTTTTTTTAGTTGTTGGACCTTTCAGGCGTCCCTCAATGCTTTTTCTTATAATCTAGGGACTTTATGTTGGTCCGACCTCAAAAGGAAAAGAATGTAGCCATGAAGCATTGTTCTTACAGCGGCTGCTGGGTGTCACTGGATCTTTCTATAAATTTTACTTTTGTGTTAACGATACTATTGTTCTTCAACCACTGCTTTCCTCTTGCTACTAAAGCCAGCTTCCTTTTCTGGTCTTAAGTCTCCGTTGAGCCCTCTCTGTGATTCTGCTTTCTTTTTTGTATCATAGAATTAGAGGGACTTAGACTTCTGGTAAAGTGACCACGGTCAGAACTGAGATGTACAGGTACTTACAGATGCTCACGGAATTTGGGTATTCACCAGACATCCTGCAGAGGGAGAAGAAAACAGATAAATCCTCTGCAAACAGTCACACTGCCTCTCCAGGGAGTCACCTCTGGGAATAAGCATCTCTTCTGAGAACATAGCCACAACACCATCTAGGCCTCCTTTCTTCCCACATCCCAGTAGGACCTCTCAGGAAATGGAGGACTGAGGCAAGAACTCTGCTGGAGGGAGTTACTCCCTGTCCAGCAGGGGTTTGGGATTATCTGTTGTGCGGGACAATTTCGTCCCACTCCCCCTAGTGAAGCCATTGACCTTAGGCTATTAGGAATGAGCCCATATCCTCACTATGTCCCAGGCATTGCAGGGTGGCCTTGAACTTGGATGACTCTTAGTGGCCATCTTGCACTCCCCCCCCCACCAACCCATACATCTTGACAAGCCAGGGAATGTTCTGTTTCTCAAGCATTGTAACATTAATATCCTCTCTCACAACCTCTGATTTTTACAACTTGGTCCTTCTTGCTGAATAACTTCCCTACCACAAGGCAAGCCCTTTTGCTGGATGGTTTTATTTCAGTAGGGCACCTGAACGGAACCAAACTGTTTGCCTTGGGCTTCCTACTAAACTGCACCATACAGAATGCATGCGCTCCTCACCGGCTCTCCTCGCTCTCCAGCAGCTTACGGTAGGTGGCGATCTCAATGTCCAGCTCCAGCTTTATGTTCAGAAGATCCTGGTATTCGAGCAGCAACCGGGCCAACTCCTCCTTGCCCTGCTGCAGGGCATCCTCCAGCTCATGTAGCTTGACCTGGGCGTCCTTGAGGGCACAGTCTCCCCTCTGCTCAGTGTCAGCGATAGACGTCTCCAGGTTGGAGCACTGAGGGGCAAGGGCATTCAGCACTTTGAGATCTTGCTCAGACAGCCTCCCCTTTTGTGGTCCTGACTGACCAAATGTGGGGGTTTTTTGTTGTTTTTAAAATTTTTATTTTATTTTATCTCATTCCCTCCCTCAACCCCCCTCCCCTCCCTATGTACAATGGGCAAATGTTTTGATTGCCTCCTGGTTGACGTAATCTTGGACATCAGTAGAATTGAGTTAACCCTTCCCCCAACTCCAGGCATAATCCATCCCAGCTCAGGCTTCAGCATCTGAAGTAGAAGCCTTTACCTGGGAGAGTGGAGGGAAAGAGCACCAAGAAGATGGGATACCTGGGTACATGGGCCCAGCCCTGTCCTGCCTGGTCTGAAATAGCAGCTATAAAATTCTAAGGACAACCCTGAAAAAGTCTCCAGGTAGCCATACCTAATGCAGCTCTGCAGTGTACAAGTTGTCTCAAGAGATATTGTAAATCAGGAAGGAGAACAAGGGCTAATAACATTCCTGTTAATCAGATGTCTTTCTAGTAAGCTTACCACACTTAGAGTCTCGCCTCCAGAACCCCACCCCAAATTATATTAAAAGTCAAGGACAATCTTAAAAGATGCTCCTATATAACAAACAGGTTTTATAGATGACACACACCTCTGTTAGTTGGCATCGTGCAACCTGCTGGAGGACACTGCAGATGGGTCTGTGTGCTTGCATGCATCTGAAAGCCCTAGAGCCTTCTTGAGTTTCTTAGTCTGAGTGTGTTCTGGTCACTCAGCTAAGATTTTGATGGGATCTAAGCACCAGCCTTCTCTTTCTGGGGTGTTCCCTTTCTGTGGAGTTGACTTTGCTTCGTGTCAAGGAAAGCAACAGCTGACCCTGATGCCAAATAGGTTTCTAGACTATTTTCAAGCTGGTACTACCTCCTCAGCTAGGCAACCCCAATGCCCACAACCTCAAGAAGATACCCAGGACACAGCTGCCTGACCTCAGAAACTCATATGTCATTCTTGGGACTGTGGAGGTCTAATCATGCAGGATGGTGTTAATAAACTCTGCCACCTAAATTCAGCCACACTGTCCTCTGTCCTTTTTCACTGACCAAGACCCACAGAGTGAACCCAGGGGAATGCCAAAAGCTAACATCTTCTGAACGTCTTGTGAGTTGAGAGGACATGAAATTTTAGCATTCTTTGAAACAAATATCACATGGATTCTGGTACCACCAAATACCAAGAGGCTCTGATGTAGACCTGGGGGCTTCTTTGGTTCAGAAGGCAAGAAGGGCAAGAAAGTCCCTTGGCTGAGGGCCCTCAAAAGAGGCCTGGATAGGGACCAAGTGTTGCAGGATCTCCACATGTTCTCCACAGAAACATCTTCCCTGATCAACAGAGCAGCATTCTGATATGAAAAATGTCATTTTCCAGTAACAACCTCACCTAACCATGAGCACATAGCATTTTACACTGAATGCTGGGAGAGCTTCAAATACCTGTACTTTTCTTGCACTACACAGATCTTGGTTAAACAGATACAACATTTGTTCATTCTCTCTCTCTCTCTCTCTCTCTCTCTCTCTCTCTCTCTCTCTCTCTCTCTCTCTCTGTACTGAGAATTGAATTTAGAGCCTTCACACTGAGCTACATCCATAGCCCTTTTTTTTTTCTATTTTTCATTTTGAGACAAGTTCTTCACAAATCACTAAATTGTCCAGGCTGGGCTCAAACTTGAGATCCTCCTACCTCATACATTCATATTTAATATTGCTCTTTCTTCTTCCCATTGCCATAAGCCTATTGCCCAGAGAAACAGGGGTGTGTGTGTGTGTGTGTAGGTTAAGGGGATGGGGAATGACAAGGAGGGCAAGGAAATGGGCAAAGATCTGCCCAGAAAGCCAAGATCCTTAAATCCTTGCCCTGACCTCCACAAATTTTGAGTACTTCATGGATTTGCTGGCTTCAGAGCCACAGGTGTGGTGGTGCCAGTGTGGACCCAAACTGTGCACTTCCAGAGAGGGGAGCTGGGTGCAGTGCCCCTGAACAGCACCACCACAGGGAGGGCCACACTAGTGCAGACCCTGTTTAAAATCCACTGTGGATTCTTTCTCCAACAAGGAATCATGTGAAACTCCTCAAGTGGCTCCCTCTACCTACTAAAGGGAATTGGCCCAGCCTAAATCCCAATGCCTGGCTTTGAAGGCTGCCCATAACCTGCTGACTCCTACCTAGTGGTGTCCTCAACTCTCACTGAGTAGCACTTGGCTCCAGGTGAGCAACCTTCCTCCGTGCATATGCGCCAACTCTACCCACTACTCCTGTTGACTCCTCCACCTGGACACTTTCCCCTCCCCTTTACTCCCATCCCAGTGCAAACCCACCACCTACAGAAAGCTTCTCTTGAATCCTCATTCACTTCCAGCCCCTCTGGACCCCTAGAGTACTTACAGAGTATGTAGTGCTGTACAGAACACTATCTTTCCATATACATTCTGATCCTCCTCTCCTGTTAAGTTATAGATGCCTAAGGAAGGAGCCTTGTTTTACCCTTTCCTCATGTTCTGCCTTGTGCAGGTTGGTGCTCAATAAGCCCCATCAGCTGATTCACTTCCTAGAACCCACCTGTTTCTTCACATTCCCTATCTCTGAGTGGAGCCTCTGGATCAGCCGGTTGACCTCTGAGATCTCAGCCTTGGTGAGTTTGAGGTCATCCCCATGCTGACCTGCTGTGACTTGCAGCTCCTGGATCTGAAGTTGAGTGACAAAAGAAGAGAAGCACAAGGCAGTTGAGAACTCACCTGTATAGGAGTGCTCAGCACAGGGAGGGTGACCACATGCATGCTTATTATCAAAGCCATGTCAGCACTAGTGAGGAGAGCCTTAAACCCTTGCACTGGCCTCTACAAACTTTGGGGGAACTCATGGGTTTGCTGTTTTCAGAGGGAAGTTAAAGGGAAGATATAAGGGGAAAGGGAAAGGAAAAATCCATCCTTTTTTCCTGGAGAAGAAGGACCCTCCCTTAGTTCAACAGGATTTTTCTGTTCTCAAATTTTAGAGCATTGGTGGAAGTCTGAACTTCCAGTCTTCATTTTACCAAAGACAGAAACAAGAAGAAAAGCCAAGCTATGTGGATTACCCAAAGAAACTGTGTCAATCTTATCAGGTTATGGCTTGTATGGCCTCAGCCAATGGAAAGGCTAATCCCATATACTCCTCCAGCACAAGCCAAGACTGATCTCTGAGAGGCATTTCAGTGAAGCCTTACTCCAATACACAGTAGGTCTCCACTGAGCTCAAAGACACATGCATACACAATATGCGCACATGCGTGCTCACACATATACATATGCATGATGATAAAAGGGCATTAGCTGTGGTCACTGGGCTTTAGCACACAGCTCACCTTGGTCTGGTACAAGCACTCAGCCTCAGCCTTGCTCTTCTGTGTGATCTCCTCATATTGGACTCGAACCTCATCAATGATGCTGTCCAGATCCAGCTCCCGGTTATTGTCCATGGACAGGATGACGGATGTATCACTAATATGGGACTGCATCTGAGCAATTTCCTGGGGACAGTTGAGGGAGGGTATCCAGTTAGGGGGTTTCTATGTGGGGATCATGTCTCCTGATTCTCCCTGGACAAATTCCCCACTGCCCTTCCCACCCTTCCTCAGTGTTTGAACTCTGTCCCAGCACCAGTGGCTGCCAAGCATGAGAATGGGTACCTTGCTGTTCAGGGCAAAAAAATGGGACTCCCCTTTCCACCAGGTACTCTGGTCTGTCCTACCCTTCTTTCTACATTCTCTTCTTCAACAACTAGCAATCCACCCTCCTGGTGGCAGAATCAAATTGGAACCCTTCTCTTGGCACTCAGAGGACTCAAGGAAGTCACCTTCTATGTTTCCCATCCCTTGATCCATGAATCATCCCAGCCATGGACCACAAGCCACCTGTAAGAGGAGCAGCCTGCACAAGAGAGGTCAGTGAAGTTCTTACCTCTTCATACAGGTACTTGAAGAATTTGATAGCTTCTGTCAAAGAGTCCACCTTGGCCTGCAGCTCAATCTTGTTCATGTAGGCAGCATCTACATCCTAGGAAAAACATGAGGATCAGCTGCCTTCTCTTCCCTGCCCTCCCTTGATCTGTCCCCTCCCCTTCCCTCCCCTCACACTTCCAGAATGGCCGGGAGCTGGGGGATTTAGCCCAGTAGTACCACACCTGCCTACCAAGTGCAAGGTCTTGAGTCCCATCCCCGGTACCAAAAAAAAAAAAAAGGCCAATCCTAGAGAGCAAACCAACATGAGAAGTCCAGCAGAATGCTTGGATGTCAAGTTGCAGATTCTGGGAGCAGCATGCATCCCAGGCAATGGGACTCGGAAGGAGGAGTTGGGAAGTTACAATCTTAAGCACCCTTGTCCAAGGAACTGAGTGATCTGGAGGGTTCCTTTCCTCACCCTACAAACATCAGTGTGCCAGCTTGTGGAACTCCTCTAAGTTTCTTCCAGACCTACTGCACTCTTCTTACCTTCTTCAGCATCACAAACTCATTCTCTGCTGCAGTGCGTCTGTTAATCTCCACCTCATACCTGTGTGGGACAAAAGAAGACACAGCACTGTTACTGAGCTAACTCAGTTCTGCAAACCTTCACTGAGAAGTTAGAGGTCCTTTCTGTGCCAAAACTGTGGGGTGTGGTCATTTGTCCCAGAAGCACACACAGCCTTCCACATGGAGACATGGACAAGGACAAGTTCAAAGCAGTCCATTTGCAGCTCCTCAGATCACAAGTGGTCTGCCCTAAAATGAGTTGCCTGAGAAAGCATCTGTGGTAGAGACGTTATACAGAGTCTACTGTCCCAGTTGGTTTTCACAATTGGCCTCTGTCATGTCACAGTAGAAAGGTATGTCTTTTTAATATGGCATCATGGCCCAGGGTACTAGAGCCTCCCAGCCCAAAGCAAAAGCATTATTCTTACCTTTGAACTGCATGTTTTAGGCATTTCTTATACGCATTTCTGTTCCAGGTGTTCCATTTCTGTTCTTATATACATTTCTTAGAAACTGTGTGTATGTGGTTAGATATTCCTCATATAGCGATATTATCATTTGGGGAAGTAAGATTACTGATCATCTTGTTTAAAGAGATCACCTCTTCTAGCCTTTATTATTGTCAAAAGAATGTATTACAAGACATTTGAGCCAGGCATGATGGTGTGCATCTGTAATCCCAGCACTCAGGAGGCTGAGTCAAAAGGATTGCCACAAGTTCAGAGCCAGTCTGGGCTACATAAGTAGTGAGTTCAAGGCCAGCCTGAACTATATAATGAGAACCTGCCTCAAAAAAACAACAACAACAAAAGACACTTGAAATAGCAAAGAAATTGAATGTTGGTAAGAAATAATGCTAAATAGGTAAGCAAAATGTGACATATACATACTAGGAAGTAGTATTAAGTCTTAAAGGAAGTTCGTCAGTATGATACCACATGGAAGAATCTCAAGAGCATTATGCTGAGTGAAATAAGCCAGTCATAAAAAAACAAATATGTATTATTCAGCTTATATAAGGTTCTAAAAGTAGTCAAAATCATAGAAACGGATTGGTGATTTTCAGGAGGAAGAAAAAATGGAGAATTACTGTTAAATGAGTATAGAATTTCAGTTTTGTAAGATAAAGAGTTATGGAAGTGGCTGGTGGTGATGGTTGTGTAATATTATGAGTCTATTTAACATCACTGACCTGTACTTCTAAAATGGTTAAGAAAGCAAACTTTATGCTATGTATGTTTTACCACAATAAAAAGTTTAAAAAACACCTTAGTGCTAGAGAACAGCTCCTTTTTTCCCATATACCTAAACATAAGCAATGTTTTCCAGCTCTTTTCTTGGCCCTAAGACTAGTCTCTGGTAGCCCCCCACCCTCCAAGATTTGTTTTGGTTTTGTCTTATTAAAATCTTAGTACTAAAGCTCATGGAGAAACAAGAGGCTCTTCCATGGCTGCTCAATGAGTGAGCGGTAATTCTGGAACTCTGGATGTTTACCCTCCAGAGACAGCACAGACCCTGCATACTTCTGCCCTGTACTGTGTCTGGCCACCCTCTTCTTTCCAGGCTCTGCTTTGATTGCCACTTGAGCTCCAATTCCCATCTTAATTCCACTTATCTCAGTTCACACTGTATTCATTTCCACTATGTTCTTTAACCTATCCTCACAAACCGCACTCTCCGAGGTCAGGGGCTATGTCACCTCCTCCTGTGGGGTCTCCATGCAGAGCTCACCCAAGGTTCTGCTGTGAGGGGACTTCCGAATAGGGATGGGCAGGCAGACTGAACATGCAGCAAGAAAAAGAACACAGCTCTGACCACCTCCACCCCATGAAACTGGAAGAAGCCACCTATTCCTAGAAATCCTGGCATCTTCCAAAATACTAAATCAAACTACACCTAGATTTTTCTTATTTTCTTATGATTAGCTCAATTCAGAGAGAGAGCCAATCTCTGATTTCAAAGACATTTCCATTTTATTCTTTATAAAGAGCATAAAATTAGTTTTTCAACATAAAATATCTCTTTAAACTTCATTTTTGCTCAGTTTTAAAATTTGTTCCGGGATTGGTAGGGTGTTGTTTCATATTTTAGGAGCTGCCAAGGGAATCTCACGCCAGAGGAGCTCAAAGCCTTTTGGTGTGTCTATCTGGCATTGATCCAATTCTCTTTCCCCTATTCTTCCATTTCCAATGCCAGAAATCCAACACACATTTCTTACAATTTTGAGCCCATTCTGGGTAGATCCATTGCTTTCCTAAGTCTTCTTCTATTTGGATGTCCCTCCCTCACCTATGGGAAAGGAAATAGTGACGGTCTCAGCGAAGGCTCTAAGAAGGCAAAACTTCTGGCTGGCAATAGAAACCTCATCTGAAATCACACCCTTCAGTACTATTTTCTCTGCCTCTTGCTCACCTCTTCTTGTAGTCCTCCACTACATCCCGCATGTTCCTCAGCTCCGATTCTAGCCTCACCCTATCCCCAGATAGTGTCTCCAGCTGCTTCCGAAGGCCGCTGATGTGGCCCTCATAAATGGGCTCCAGCTTCTCCCCACAGTTGTTCAGGTCCAGCTGTTGCAGCAGCTCCCACTTGGTCTGCAGCACCTGGTTCTGCTGCTCCAGGAACCGCACCTGAAACCCAAAGGTGGTCATGACCCACAGTCCCCATGCTGTTGTCTGTCACGAACAGGACAGGATGGAGCAAGGCTCATTAGATACTATATTCAGCCAGAGTAACCTGCTCATTTGGGTCTCCAAGACAAGATCCAGCCTAAAAACAAACAAAACAGGAAATGGGCTTAAGCAATGATGTCATCCACCTCTGCCTTGGTGAGTTTCATGTGACTGAGGTGACTTCTCATTCTAGATTCTGGGAAACAGAGCAGAGGACAAATGGACCGGGAAGTCACTCTGGTAGTTAGGATGCTTTGTCTCGTGGAGACTGAACTGCTCTTGGTTGGTTGGGTTTTTGTTGTTGCTGCTGTTGTTGTTGTTTAAAGCAGGTTCTCCCATCTAAGGTTCCTCACCTTAGGCCCTTGCCAGTCACCAGCATTCCTCTTCTTGCCTGTCTCTAAGCTTGGGGGACAGAGGAAACATGTACAGGAACAACTATTTTTGAAAGAAGAAAAGGATGGCCTCTGTCCTCCAAAACTTTAGCTGTGTTTCTCCTGCTCCTGGTCTAGCACCTGCAACCACCTCACTCCTCTTCCCCACATAGTGGTGAGCCAGACAGTCCACCATCCAGCGCTCCATCAACTTGGGCTCATTTCTAAGTCTCTTTCTGTGTTAATCTCCTCTTCTTCAAGGCAGAGATCATGGATTGTGCAGTGATAAATGTGTCACTTGGGGCAGCACCAGGTGCTGAGTAATGTCTCCATAAATGTCAGCTATTGTCATTATTATTACATCTGTCCCTTTATCACCACTCATGATCTAGCCCTGTTTCCTCAGTGGAGACAGAAGCCCACTCCTTGCCTCCTCCTCCCTCCCTGGTGTCACTGCTACTCAACCTCCAGAGACATCTTCCCTGCTACCCCATTTCTGGGCACACTCCCCCAACACCTAACTTCACATGCTTTCCTTTAAAATGCCCCATGAGCCCCAACCTTCAATTTTGTGGCCCTTTTCTCCTACCTCCCCTGGAAACCTGCCTGGCTTACACACTCACCCTCTTCCTACCATTCTAGTCCTTCCCCATTCACCTTTTACATCCCCTGGCTGTGTCCCTCTAGTGCCTCTGTCCTAGATGCATGTCCCCATTCTTCGTGTGGTACAGGGAGCCCACAAGAGACCCATTCCACAGGTCTCCTGCCTCTGGGGGACCCTTTCCCTTCCCAGCATCTTGTGAGAGTCTCCTTTGTTGAGTGTGTGCCAGCCACTGCTGTAAGCACTACAAACATCCCAGGTGGTCCTCCTTAGAACACACTGAGGTATATTGTGCCCATTTTATGAATGAGGGAATGCTCCAGTTCCACTCAGCACGCTGTACACTGGAGCCCTATCACAGGCATAGGCGGGGGTAGAGGACCCACCTTGTCGATGAAGGAGGCAAACTTGTTGTTCAGCGCCTTGATCTGCTCCCGCTCCTGGACGCGCACCTTCTGGATCTCGTGGTCCAGCTCCACGTTGAGGGGGCTCAGAAGACTTTTGTTGACAATGACCTGAGGGATGCCGCCGGGCGGGCACACTGAGGGACACGCGGGCCCCAGCCCCGCCCTGCCGAAAATGGTGCCCACAAAGCCTCCCGGGCGGCCGCCACCCACGCACCCATGGCCCAGGGAGAAGCCACCGCCCCTCTCGGACCCCGCGCAGCGCGCCTGGCGCCGGCTGCCCCCGAGGCTGAAGAGGCTCCGGCTGCCGAAGGGCGCAGCGCCCTTGACCCCGGCCTTGAACGAGGCACGGCTACTGCCGAACCGGCCCGAGAGGACTGCGGAGCAGCCGCTGAAACCCAGACGCTCCCCGCCGGCGAAGAGGGTCAGCTGGCGGCTCATGCTGGGTGATTCCGTGCGGGTGGTCAGGGCCACTGCCGCTTTCGCGGGGCTCTGCCTTTAAATAGGTCTGCGCGGCCAGCAGACTGGAGTCAGCCTAATTTGTATGTGGGGAACACCTCTGAGATCCCTTGGGTTCTGCATTTCGGAAATTACCATCCACTCTCCAAGATTTTTGTCTTTTCCTCCTGCCCTGTCCATGAATCCCCTATAAAATGGCCTAGAACCCTGCATTTTCTTTCCTGACCTCCTGCATTATAATAATTTAGCTACCTTATCTCCACGTACTGCCCTCCAATTACCCTGCTCCTCACTGCCAAGATCTTCAGTGCAGAATTCCAGTGGGGTTGGCCTGGGGGTAGTGGAAGCATATGGAAAAGCCCAGGCTTCCTATCAGATTGAGCCTTCCTTCTCCTGCTCCCCAGACTTCAGCCCCGACCTTGGCACCAGGAGCTTCCTGGATGATTGTGAAATAGACTGGTGCTTAGGACAGGGCACATCGCCCGACCCTGGGCTCTCCTCTGGACCCTCATGGGTGGCCAGATGGTACTTGGAGGTAACTGACTGACAGTTTCCACTTGGCCAATCACAGGACATAATAACAACCAAGCTGTTTACTCCTCAGGGAACAAAGTTGTGGGGACATCTGTGAGTGGCGGAGATGGCGCCAGACACAGATTGACAGATAGAGGAGTTTAGGATGTCCCCAGTAGGGAAAGAGTAGACTCTGTGCTGTAGGAGAAGGAGGGGCTGTAGTCCATTCCCTCTGGAGAGGAGAAGCTCATATGCTTTTCATTATTTCATGAAATTCCCTCACATTCACCCCTGTTTTTAGCCAGATTTTTCCCTACAAGGACAAGAAAGTTTACTAATTCTGGTCATTGAATATAGAAATGCAAGGAAATGATTTGGATTGAAAGAGGAGCATCCTTATATAGCACTGATTACAAAAGGAGTCTTTGGAGTTATCTTTTTTTCTGGAATCTTTCTAAGAAGCTCAGATACCTGTCCTTCTGGGGCCAGGGGTCTTCAGGCACAGGAACCAGGTAAAATGACCTTTTCCTATCTTTCCATGAGGGCTTCACTGTCTGAATGAATCAGGGGCTCCTCAACCCTGCCATTGCCTTTATTACAGATGATGCCGAAACCGAAGTGACACATACAGGCTTCAGAGGTATTGAATATGTGGGATGCGAGCAGATCAAAGGTGGCTGAGGCCTGGGAGGAGAGGCTGTCATGGCACCTGCCTCTACCAGCAGCTTACTGTGTCACCTCAGGCCCTGGTAACCACCTCTGCCATTCGTTCTTGGGTTAAAGCCACCCCATTATGGGTAGACTAAGCCAGAAACATCAGCCTTTAAACAATGTGCTACAACAAAAGGATAAAACCACTCTAAGCGAGGCTTGCAAATGTGCAAGTTAAACTGGGTCTCTTTTGTCCTGGAATACTAGTTCTTGGGAAATTAGCAGATATCGTGTGGGGAAGAAGCTTGAAGATGCATTCTGTGCTGGGTTTTGAACAGTCAAGCAGGTGTCTTATTGTAGAACTTCTAAGAGCTATTAATATCCTTAGTATTAGAGGATTTTTAGGGCAGTGAAACTATTGTGTATGATGTTATAATGGTGATACATGTCATTATATATTTATCCAAACCAATAGAACGTGTAATGCCAAGAGTGAGTCCTAATGTAAACTATGAACTCTGGGTGATAATGTATGTAGATTCATCAACGATAACAGATGCACCACTCCAGTAGGGGAGGCTATTATGTGTGGGCAAGGGATATATGGGAAATCTTACCTGCCTCTCAGCTTTACTGTGCACCTAAAACTGCTCTAAAATGGTTAAATCAGATAGATAGATAGATAGATAGATAGATAGAGAGATCAAACTAAACTGTTGTTGTTAACAACACAACAAAAAAGATATTTAGTGCTTTCTGCTGTACCAAAGGCTGATTTTTTAAAAACTCAATCTTTTTTTCATGCAGGGACTGGAAAAATGAAACTATGACTAATGTATTTTCTACTTTTTCATATTTCTAATTTTAATATGAATATATAATTTTTATACATGAGTTATCTCAAAATTCTAGTATCAGAAATAAAATAGTATTATAGATTACAGATAAAACGTCTCCCAGAAGTCTCGCATGTGTGAAGGGTGATTTGATCTCAGGGTACTATAGTCATCCATGGATTCATCCTCTAATGAGTTGACTAATTCATGTGCTCTTAGGAGGTGGCTGGTTGAAGGTGGGTCACTGAGGCTGTGACTTGGAAGACTGTATTCTTGTCTCTAGCTTCTCCCTTCCTCCTCTGTCTTTCTGCCAGGAGGGTAAGCAGCTTTATTCCACCATGCCTTTCTGCTATGCCATTTCTGCCTTGGAGCCAACCAACCATAGACTGAATCCTCTGAAAATCATAAGCCAAAACAAACCTCTTGTCCTTTAAGTTGCAGGTGTCCAATATTTTGTCTTAGCAACAGGATAGTGACTAATACAAGTATTCTTCTTGTAAAAACAAAACCTCAATGTTTTTAAAAACTTTAACCGTAGAGGCCTTTCTTCGGCCAAATATCTTGTAGAGAACCAATATTTCAAGGATAATATAGTATCACCACTTCTATTACCATTAAGCAGACTTAAATTTCTCAAATCCAAACATACTTATAATATCCCCCCTCCAAAAAAAATACAAAAGAGACCTAAATATAGCATGAAACCTGATCAGTGTATGGCACTAGGCCTAGGGTTATGTTTTCAAAACCAAAGAAAGAGTGCTGCATGGATCCTAGGGCATGTACCCAGTGTCCTCCCAGCACTGGCCAAAGACAAGAGAATTCTCAGCCTGGAAACAAGCATTGGATTTCTAGCCTGAGGAAGCCTGTGCCAGACCCTGCCAGAAACGGCGCTCTCCTCACACTCTTCCTCCTTCCCTAGCTTCCTCTGATATTCTGTGGGGGTTGGAGCCACGTGACTAGTGTTGGCCAAGGAAATGTGAATGGCAATAAAGGGTGTCACTTCCAGGGTGATGACACAGTTCACAGGCATGTTTCCTTCTCCATCTCCCATATCCTGTCTTGGTGCCTGTGGAAGTTATGTGTCCCATGAGGCAGGGCTACAGGAGAGAAGAGCTCAAGTCCCCAGAACAGCCAGTGGGAGAACCATGAAGGTCAGCTGCCCCGGCCTGCTTTGGACTGTGAGTGAGAAACTAACTCCTGTTGTATACATTGAGCTGCTCAGATCTCAGGGTTTGAGGCAGTTACTGTTAATTATCTGAATATAATCATAGAAATTGGGTGACAGCCTTTGCATTTTCTCTCCCTCTCCCAACATAGCGACCTCAGCAAAAAAGAAGAATAAGAAGGGGAAGACTATCTCCCAAACAGACTTTCTGGTTGAGGATGGAGGAACTGGTGGAGGAACCACCTATGTCCCCAAACCAGTCAGCTGGGCTGATGAAACAAATGACCTGGAAGGAGATGTTTCAACCACTTGGCACAGTAATGACCACGATGTGTATAGGGCACCTCTGATTGACTGATCCCTCCTTCCCACTGCTCCACGGGCTGCTCAGGAACCCAATATCGACCAGAGCCATTTACCCAAATCTCCACCCTACACTGCTTTCCTAGGAAACCTCCCCTATGATGTAATGGATGACTCTATTAAGGAATTCTTTTGAGGATTAAATATCAGTGCAGTGCACTTGCCACGTGAACCTAGCAATCCAGAGAGGTTGAAAGGTTTTGGTTATGCTGAGTTTGAGGACCTGGATTCCCTGCTCAGTGCCCTCAGTCTCAATGAAGAG